GACTATTCCTAAATGTGAAAACATGGAAACGCACAAATGAATACATTATGATAGATTTGTTCTCTAACTCTTGTCCACGGCAACATTGTACAAATGATTTGAACACATGATAGACAGCGCGGTAACATGTTGGAACACGGAAATCTTACAAATTGTACAACTTTTTTGTTTTTATTTATTTTTTTTTACTCTGTTATTTACTCTCTTCTTTTCGGTGCTTAGTATTCCTCTGTGGCCGATCCACGAGACAACCGTTAACTGTTGCTAGGATGTTGATATAATCCCATACAAACACATAGATTTTTCAATAAAAACAACAACACATTCCCTAGTCGTAAGCTTTGGCTTAGGAAGTTTTGTAGGTTTCATGATTTATGACCATGTCCTTGAAATCTTATTACATTTTACTACGTAAAATACGTCCAAGTGAAACCTTTGTTATCTATCCACTCTTCTTTAGGAAATATATGATGTTAGTCTGATAGGTTTATATAGTTTTTTTCTATCGATATATACGGGACTTTTTCGAAATATCGCTATGCATGGAAACCAAGTGAAATTAAGCTTCTATACTTTGTCGTCGAGAAAAGAGATTTAAAGATACATATTTTAATGGCGACAAACTGTAAGTCGGTTTATTCAGCCATTTAAGGTTCAAATTATAATATGTGATGTTTGAGGGCTTGGAAATGAGGAGATAACACCAGCCTTAAGATATATTTTCGCAGACATTTCATTAACAATTTTTTTAATCTCCTTCCTGGAGAGTTCCACAAACATTACACTAGAGTTAACTCCCTTGTACTGTAACTATAAATGTGTCGTGTGGAGTCAGGAATAAAAAAAAAACATTCTACTTATACTTATTAAGACATGGATTACCAACTGATATTCTAAAAACCTCAATTACTTTGATTAAACAAAATATGTTTAACTCAATACGCAAAGGAAAATCAAACGCTTCATCAAGGGAGTGAACTCTACAAAATATCTCAGTCATGTAGTTATTTAATTCAATGTTGTCAAAGACAAATTTCATCTTAAACCGAGACTTGTAGAAATGTGAAAAAAATGTTAACAGTGACAATCAGTTGAAATCAAATGAATATGCATGTCAACTGCATTCACACCTCATATAATTACATATGACATCATCTAAATGTTCGTATCGAAATGGCATAATGATTAGTTCCTAAAGAATACAAGTAAGAAATATATGTGTGGTTCATATCAAACAGCATACTACCTGAATGATCCTCAGAAACTTACGAAGGCAATACATAAACGAACCGATGTCTATATAATCATGCGATGTTGGTTGAACTACCATCAAACCAGCATTTGGAGTAGTATGCATGATAGTGAAGTATAAGAAAACTACAAAGACAAGGAAACATATCCCTTTCACAATTTTGCTGCGCTGCTCTAAATTTCTACAATTATATAATTTTTTGATATCAACACAATTTGTCAAACATTTCAACAATTCAGTATATATCAAAGGTGGCATACTAATCCGTGTGAACTGAGAGTAGCTTGAATGTCTTATACACTCACAATGACTTCTAAAATAATTCCATTTGAGTTCAATTTACACTGATAATCTGTTTGGGGAATTTACTGGAAAATGAAGCAACAGTCTACATGCATTGATATTGTGTCAACATAACATAATATATGGACGAAAACCTATCTGTCAAACACGTTTGTATGGGAATAACATTCGTCCCATCTTAAAGAAAATTTGCGTTCAATTTACATTCAGCCTTAAAAATCTTTTCAAATATAAAACTATTTAACTACAAATGTATAAAGGTTTAAAGTATGTAGTCAAAAGATTACAAAAATTATAGGACATCAAAATGTGAGACTGTTATCACAATCATAATTCAAGCATGACGACCAGAAATGAACAGTTCAGCTACATGACCTTGAATTTGGGTTTCCTGGCTGTCTAGACTTCAAGGTATTGAACCAAGACATGGCTGAGCCACGTAAATGCAAATGGAATTCAGCAACTTTCGTACATCCTGGTAAGAGTCATTCAAATGTTTTTTTAATGCATACGATTAAAATTGCAAGAGAAGTTTTACTGCGTTCTCGTGGGGATATCTCGATAATTTCTCACAAAGCACTTTACTGATCAGGGTGTCAATAAAAGGAAGTGAATCATTTGATACCGTTGGAAAGATCATGATTGTTCATATTGAATGTGACCTGTGGATTACATAAGGGAGTGTCTCTCTTTAATCTTTTGACAGGGTTTTCAATCTGTGGTGCAGCTGGAGTTGGGGCTGATGATTACAACAGGACCAGGAAATGACGTTCATAAAAGAGGAACTTTGTCGGGGAATTCCATTGTAAATATGTCAGAGAATGATTCCGATGCATCAGGGGTGTCCTGTAATACGGCTGGGCTCAATCAAAATTGTCTGCTCCATGTGGGAAAAATGTACCAACACAACGTTAAGGTTACCAATAAATCGGTTGGACTATTATTGACCAATCAGTCATTTTCTTAGTGGAACATAATAAGTGATAATGGATGAAATTATCGTTTGCGAAGTACCCATTGACCCTTGGGATTCTCCATTATATATGGTGTTTGGGAGCTTGACAATGAGAGGAGATTAATTGAATCTTCCCCTACCTTTAAAGGGTGTGACAGAGAAATCTCCAATCCTCGGGGTGATGTTTTTTGTAGTCTAACCCTCGGCAGAACCTTGGGTTAGACAACAACAAAAATCATCCCTTGGCAGAGCCTCGGGTTAGACAACAAAAAATCACCCCTCGGGTTGGAGATTTCTCTGTCACACCCTCTAAGGATAGGGGATGATTGTTTTTCTCCCATCCCATTGTGTCCGTCAGGATGTTAAAAAAAACAACCCCACGGTACAAGTGTCTGAATTGCGCATGAATATCACCATTCACGTTTCATGACGTCACCGTTTGCATGTAAATCATTACGCAACGTGATATAGATAGTAAAAAAATCAATCATATTTATCAATTAATCATTTACAATATCATATTTGATTTAATGTATCAATGAAATGTTATGTTAAGTTTGGATTTGCTTCAGCATACCGATAGCTAGCAGACGATGTTTGTTAATCGGCACGAGGCTATCTCCCCCTAGGGGGCGACAAGCTGTTCTTTCCCGGCTAAAACGGGAGACACGGCTTTGAATGGTTGGAGAAAACATTGTCTCCGGATCTTTTCACTGACTTTTTATCAACAACTTTTAAATCTGCTTCCAGGAAAGTTCACCAAGCATAACTCTAGAGTGAACTTCCTTGTACTGTAACATATCAATCGAAAACGTCACATTCACATCTTCTACTGGTTGTGTTATAAGATGAAGGTGACCGTGTAGTCATAGAAACATCATACTCGAATCTTCTACTGGTTGTGTTATATGATGAAGGTGACCATGTAGTCATAGAAACATCATACTCAAATCTTCTACTGGTTTTGTTATAAGAACTTATACTCTATCAATTATACAGTGTCAAAGATGCAAAGCGTACAAACATGTCATTACATGACCATTCAGATATAAATGTTGATGGTTATGGTAGTGATGGAGTGAAACTACACTGTAGTCTATGTAAGGTTCTGATGAGTCCTGATAGCTTCAACCGGAATGCCTCTTGCCCGGTGATTATGCCCTGAAAAATAAGCTGCTGTTCTGTCTGACGATACGATAATCTGTTCTTTATTTATTCACAGCACTCCATACTATCATTGCACCCTATATGTCAACCACACGTTACGCCTAGAATGTTTTGAATCCGACATATGATGTGTAGGGGTGGTCTAACTCATAACATTATGTATCTGCGAATAATTCCCCTCTTTGTATAACTTTGTGTTATGTTAAACAATATAATACAATGACGTTATACAAAGTACATTATACAACGTTTAACGCATACAATTTTGTAATTACCACGAGTAACAATAATGAAAATGATAACAAAAATGTACAAATTGGCGGCAAATGCATTTTATAATTCATTCAATTTGAATTTGTGAATATGTAGGTGTTCATACTATACCAACAGGACGATACCAGTGTTGTTCAAATATTTATTATGCCATACCTTTTCTGATGTAGTACATGCTTTCTCTTTGTTCCGATAACTACAACGATAATAATTATATAAAAATAGCTCCGCAAACACGGGCAATACCCCACAGCCTTATTATAAAGTTGGATGCAGGGCTGAGATTGTGAAGAACCTCAATAGGCTGTGTAGGCCCATAGGCCCAACATGTCCAGGTGATTTCGTTCTTGAGATAATGAGCGGAATGCAAATTCAAGATGGCGTCCGTAGCCGCCATATTGGATATCGGGCGACGCCGAAAAACAATAGGGTTGTGTAGGTCCATAGACCCGACATGCCCAGCGAAAATGGTGATCGCCGGTGATGTCGTTCTTGAGATAATGGGCGGAATGCAAATTCCAGATGGCGGCCGTAACCGCCATATTGGATATCGGGTAACGACGAAAAACAATAGAGTTGTGTAGGTCCATAGACCCGACATGACCAGCGAAAATGGTGATCGCCGGGTGTTGTCGTTCTTGAGATAATGAGCGGAATGCAATTGTGGCGGACGGACGGACAGACGGAAGGACGCCATGCGTGATCGCAATACCCTACACCCTTTCGGGCTGTGGGTTAATTATATTAACGACTTCGTAGCTATATTTCCGTTTAGGAAGATGTAGGGGATACAGATGTGTCTGTTTACATGTATTTACAAACCGATAACAACTAATAAGCATTTCAATATCAAGAGTATGCAATTTCTGTTCACAAAAGGTCATTACACAATGGACACAGAAAGAGATTAGAAAAAACTGACGGCCGAACAGATCACCAGGTGTTCCATAAATCATAAAAATAGTCTGTTTGTGTAAATGAACTGGTAGTTTCGAATTTGTTTTCGATGAATATCTTCAATGCAGTTTCAAAACCGCTGACTTAGAGATATCAATCAAGATTTAGACGTCTTGCAGCCTCGGTTTTCAGTTTCTTTTTGTCAGTCTTCCCTGTAAAAGCGGTAGGGAATTCGTTAAATTTGAGGAAATATCTAGGCATGGATCCCATACCGTCCAACGAGACTTTGTTGATGAAATTATTTTCACAGTAACTTTGTACCTCTGCAGGAGTCAGCTCAGATGAAATATAGCAAACACACGCTTCTTCATACATCCGGGTATCAGGTACAGCCACCGTTACGACGTCTCTGATGCCTTCCATCTTCTTCACTAAGTCATCTATAGCACCCGGTAGGATCTTTCTTCCGCCACGGGCTATCGTGTCGCTCGTTCTTCCCTGCACAATGAGATCACCAGAAGATGTAAGCAATCCAATGTCTCCTGTTTTAAGCCATGGTGGTCTGTCATTGGTGAACATAGCACTCGTCAAAGCTGTATCCATATGATACCGTTTCATCAGTAAGGCACTTCTAACCTGAATATTGCCATGAGTTTCGGTTGCAACTATGCATCCATCGTCGTCTACGATTCTGATTTCTACACCTGGAATAGGTGGACCTATTTTCCCAGTTTCAATAAAATCTCCCTCTTTAATTAGCATGGAATATGATACACCAGCGGCTTCAGAAGATCCATAACCAATGATGATGCTCCTACAAAATCTACCGATTACTTGAGTATAGAAGTTATCTACAATCTGACCTCCTGATGCAATCATCTCTAACCTGTATCCATCGTCAGGAATACTTGTCGCCTCTTTGATCAAATCATAAATGTGATATGGCATGAGGGATGAAGTCATGACATCTTCCTCCCTCATAATATCCCAGATTTTCTTGATTCCGTTCTCTGTTGTTCCCATTGTTGGGTCCGTAAAGACTCTTGTTTGTCCTAACATACTTGACATGACTACTGATCCTCCGATCCAGCAGAATGGACGATCATTGTAAAGAATTTTTATTCCGGTTGTGGCATCAGGAATTGCTTTCAATGATATTGTCATAAAGAATTGAGAGTGCACTACCAGTTTCGGTTTGCCAGTGCTACCGGAAGTGGTGAATACAAAAGCGTCATCTTCTGGGTTCACTTTGGGTAAAATGACGTCATCCTCAGCCTGTGTAGTTATCTCATCGATTACTTTGTGGATAAGTCTAGTGGATTTTGTTTCTCGTAGTAAAATGTATTGTCGACGCTGTGGATTATTTTCCTCGCTGGTTTCCAGTGATTCTATAATGGAGAGGTATTGGTCATTATTTCCAGGATCAGCAAACATCATCTCACATTTACTCTTGTCTAAAATGTCTATTGCATCCTCGGCGTTTTTGTATTCAATGTTCAGTTGAAGGACTACAGCTCCTGATAAAATGATACCAAATTCAGCCACAATCCTAGCCAGGGTATTGGGACCAAACAGGCCTACCATATCCTGTTTTTGTACCCCTGAGGAAACGAGAAATCGAGCCACTACTACAGCTCTCTTGTATAGTTCTCCATATGTGATGCTCTGTCGTGGTCCATCAGCGGGCCGATAAACAAATGCCTCGGTATTTGGTATGATTTCGGCATTTTTCTTTATGACGTCGTTGATGGTTATGTATTGGTACGACCCTGATGGTGGATTGTGTAGATAGCTTACAGTACTCATGTTGCTGAAAAGCAAATAATTATAATAACATAATGTAACAAGTTCAGTATTTGGAGGTTAATCATTATGTAGTCATTCGTAATAATTATATAATGGTAATTTATAACTAGGAACAAGTAATAAGTGAGAATTATCTGTAATTCTGTTGTATAAACTATTTGGATCAATATTTAATAGATACATGTATGTCAGGCGACTGGTACAGCGGAGATGTCGCGTTGCACAGGTGTGGGCCTGCAGGTCATTGAAACTATCCAGAGTTAGTAAACAACTGTCCAATATTAATCAAATGTTAACAGGTGGTAAACGGTACATAGTCCAAATACTAATTAGAAAGTAATTTGTTGTACTGTTTCACGTACATTATAATAACCTTTGACTACTGTATCATGAAAGTTGGACAGATTTGTTCCAAAATAAGTTATTGCGATCATTACAACCATTGGACATGATGATAATGATAACAGCCCTATGTGTATAAAAGGCACAGTGCAATTTGTAAACAGGGAGTCTGATTTTAGAGACCAAGCAGCACGCCAGACTCCGCTCTCCTGACTATCGACCTGTCCAGTCTGTGTGTGACCTCGCTGTCTGAAGATTAAACTACTTGTCAAGAAGAAAACCTGCGTTCTTTACTTGTCTCTCGACGGGCTGTGTTACAATACTCATCATAATCACGTTTTTAAACATAAAAACATAAAAATATATTGATTTATGGGACTAGAACATATCCCAATCTAGATCTTGATCTTTGTTTTGGTCACTTTGGATTTTTCTTAGTCGTCTCATAGGCTTAAAAATTTAGTTCCTTAATATCACTGAGAGTCCTAGAAGGACAAAAACAGCTGTATGATGTAGCATCACTGACGAGACCCAGAAGGACGAAACAGCTGTATGATGTACCATCACTGACGAGTCCTAGAAGGAAGGACAAAACAGCTGTATGATGTAGCATCATCGACGAGTCCTAGAAGGAAAAAATAGCTGTATGATGTAGCATCATCGACGAGTCCTAGAAGGAAAAAATAGCTGTATGATGTAGCATCATTGACGAGTCCTAGAAGGAAAAAAACAGCTGTGTGATGTAACATCACTGACGAGTCCTAGAAGGACAAAACAGCTGTATGATGTAGCATCATTGACGAGTCCTAGAAGAATAAAACAGCCGTATGATGTAGCATCACTGAGTGTCCTAGAAGGAAAAAAACAGCTGTATGATGTACCATCACTGACGAGTCCTAGAAGGACAAAACAGCTGTATGATGTAGCATCATCGACGAGTCCTAGAAAGAAAAAATAGCTGTATGATGTAGCATCATCGACGAGTCCTAGAAGGAAAAAATAGCTGTATGATGTAGCATCATTGACGAGTCCTAGAAGGACAAAAACAGCTGTGTGATGTAACATCACTGACGAGTCCTAGAAGGACAAAACAGCTGTATGATGTAGCATCATCGACGAGTCCTAGAAAGAAAAAATAGCTGTATGATGTAGCATCACTGACGAGTCCTAGAAGGACAAAAACAGCTGTGTGATGTAACATCACTGACGAGTCCTAGAAGGACGAAACAGCTGTATGATGTAGCATCACTGAGTGTCCTAGAAGGATAAAACAGCTGTATGATGCAGTTTAACACCTACTCTAACCCTTAAATTCATTTGTATCAAACGTTGCTATTCACTTGTGCGTCTTCTGTTCCATGTTCTAATGGGAACAATCACATATTTATCAATTAAAATACTTTGAAACTGGCAGTTTATGATAAAAGTACTGTAATGATAATACCGCAATGAAATAAGTCAAAGGCTGGCAATGATTCGACTTCCATGTCCTTTCCCTACTTCATTAAGAATGAATATATATATATAATGAGTTGGTATTTCATGGTGGAATATGATAACAAAATCCTTAAGAGGATAAATACTGATAATAAGCATTAACAGAGGCCAGTAATATAATTATTCCTTGGTTTAACATGCATTTACTAAATATGGCTTTCCATATGACATGTACATCTATTGATAGCTTGGGAAAATAACAGTCATTTGACAGGAAATATCTTAATTATCAACAACGATTTTTGTACGTTTTCAACAATTTCTGCTCTTTCTAAGTAGTAATCTCTATAGAATATATTTATATATTTGCCTTTTTTCTGTTTCGGGATTATATGAAGACGGAGTTCATGGATATTGGGATCATTGACATACACTCATATTGAAATGGCAAAAACGGAAAATGGTAGCATAACACCCCACCAGAGGGACCGAGATAGCTCAGTCGGTTAGAACGTTGGCCAACGTAGCCTTAGGACGAGATCCTAAGAGCGAGTCTGTTGCTCACGTGTTTGTGTCTATGGGCACGACAGTGTACCCTAACTGCTCTCGATGGTATGCGGCGAGCTTTCCGTATATTAGTCAGGGAGGCAGCTATCAGCTGTTACAAGGAGACTCCGCCTTCGAGTGATCCCTGCTGTTCAGGACACCTCGTGCAATGCTGAATTGCAAGCAGGGAACACGAAAGTAAAGTTTTAATGATTTTGGTGCGTCATGATTTTCTCCCACGGGAAGACGCCAACATCGGTGCCAAATGTAAGACAGTATCAGATGTAATTCTGGTTAGAAAAAAAGTCTGAAGGGACGAAAGAAAAGACAAATGGCAAATCTTGAGTTTCCTCTCACGATTACGCAAATGGGACAGAAGACCGATTCAGAAAGATGCTATGAATCCTAGCCGTTCACACGTTACAGCTGAGGTCATATAGAAGTGCACAAGGATAATAATGCAATGTTTACTAATATGCAATGTTGTCCATCGTATTGTTCAGACGGAAATTGTTTTTTAACATGGATAGATAACTAAATCACATATGAAAACCATAAATATGCCCTGACATGAAATGTTACAAATATACACATTGCTTTATTCCAACATCATGTTTCTCTAGCCTGACTTGGAATACTAATGGCTAAACCCTGAAAATGACTAAGTTTAAGATGGCGATTCATTTACACGAAAAGACTTGCAACAACATGCTTATAGGTAAGGTTCATCCTATTTGGCAGACTACAATAAATACAATGTATATGTTGCTGTACGCAAAAAGTTTATGACAATCTCATCAATAACATATATAAACTCTCGTTGCTTAACATGTTGAATAGTGCCCTGTTGGAAGAACAAGCTGACGGAGGACTAGTTCTAACGTCATTTACATTCAGTCGCTGCAGCGTTTGTTTGTAGTTGAAAATTTTGGATGCAGTAGGGCTAGAGTAACTGTAGGAAATAACTAGGGTGTTTCTTGTACTGTTCATTCACTATGAAACTGAAGACCGACGATTTAAAATCAGGTATCGATGAGGCAGGAGAATGCTTGTCAGTGATGCTTAGACTATTTGCTTGAAGCCAATGAGGTGACCGAGAAAAATCCAAAGTGATCAAAGAAAATCCAGAATCTAAAAATCAAGACGTGGAGGTACTCTAGTCTGATAACGGAATAATACATCTGATAATTTTGGACCAACGTCAAGTACATGTGTATATTTTAAAATATATTAAATGACTCACCAAATCCTGGTCTGAAGTGGTACACGACTGCACCAAAACGATTCTGCCGTGTTATACTTTTCCAACCGAGCATACCGTTATCTCTATCTTGTTATAGCCACTAAATATTTCTACTTTGTATTTATCATATGTATGTGCTGTTATCAGCTTATCAACCTGTCCTCGCGAGGTATTCGTTACGCGTGTGACGGTGTAGGGAAGAGTGACTTAGCTTAATTTTTTCTTTAAGGCAATGCTGCCTTCAACAACAATGCTGCAAGCTAGAATACCTCCATCATAGCACTCGTGTTCAGTCTTTTGTCCTATAAATGAGGTATAAGCAGTCGTGTTAAAATTCCACAAAATACACACGAGTAGAAGTAGTTTTCAATACAAATTTAAGATATGATTTTAATCGCATCATGCAGCTGTTAGGCCTTTCTACGGCTCGTCAGTTGTTCTAAGGGTATAACGTTAATCTTAAGACAAACTATGTAAGCATACAAATGTATATTCAAGCTTTGATTGTCGATTATAGGTAAAGGTGATTCCATTTGATAAGGTTCTTTTCGGGAAATAAGCATCCATCCCAACAAAGAATTCGACACGAAATGACCTTGACCCATATTCAAGGTAATGCAGGTCAAATTTATTTAAACCATAAACAACTTGTGCTGAATGACAAAAAGGCCTAGAAGCTTGATCTTTAGCTGTTGGGTATCTGCGATGACGTACGATACCGTTTTGAAAAAAAAGTGATCTTGACCTATAAGAAAGGTCACAGGAGTCTTTTTTTAAATATTGAAACAAATTCTCCTAATAAACTAGACTTTAGAGAAGCATGACATTTGGCAGGTTGGTCTCTGGAATAAAACTTGACAAAGTTTACGAAAAGGATGACCAGTATCCATATTCTAAGTCACAGTGATCGACTTCGTTAAAACCTTCAAACAAACATTTCAAATCAGCTAAACAAAACAGCATATATTTAATGGCATGTCTCGGTAGGGAACAAAATCTGACAATGTTTACGAAAGAAATGACTTTAAGGTCAAAGGGGTCAAATGTGTTGAAGTCTAAACAGATGCTCTTGATTAACCAGAAGTTGCAGAAGCAAAAAGGATAAAGTCACCTCCCAAATTCAGAATATACTGCCAAGTAGCGTTTAGTTGGTTACAATTGTATTGAGAATATGCGCTACAATAATCAAAATCATAGTTTGATATTTTAATGGTAAATCTAGGATTCAATCTCATTAACAGTGGAGTAGTAAGCGCACCATAACTGTACTGCAAAAAGAAATATACAGTTTGCATTGAGACTTTTCCAGAACAAAATAATAAACCCGATGTGAAATTTAGTTAATTTAAATATTTAATTGAACAATAACTGTCAACAAAACAATACCACTTAGAACAGTTTTGATATACAATTCCATTTCATTGGTGACGTGAATTCGCAGGGATATTCGAATCATTTGTCATTCAAATATAACTGCAATTTTTCCTTAATCCATTTTCATAGTAGCTCCAACGGGAAAGGGTTTTAAAGAATATAATGCATAGCATTACAACGTATCGTAAAAAAGATATCGTTGATATTTGCTTTTAAGAAATGATATTCCAGTTTTGCCGTATAGCTTTTATGTAAATACCGATATTTTTGTTTTTTTAATAGATAGTTGTGGTCCTATATCGGAAATATCTGTCTGTCTGTTGAGTGTCCAGATTAAGTTTTCCCCTATTTTTGGACTGTGTTTATGTATATTGCTTGAAGGAAATAGCGACCTCTAAAACAACACGATATCAAGCATATCCCCTGGCCTTAACTCTACAGAGACAATGGTGGTGGCATTAGAGCTATTGTAGGACAGTGGCGAGAGGACCATTGTAGGGCGGTGGCAGTATGACCATTGTAGGGTAGTGGCGAGAGGACCATTGTAGGGCGGTGGCATTAGGACCATTGTAGGGCGATGGCGAGAGGACCATTGTAGGGCGGTGGCATCAGGACCATTGTAGGGCGGTGGCGAGAGGACCATTGTAGGGCGGTGGCATCAGGACCATTGTAGGGCGGTGGCAATATGACCATTGTAGGGCGGTGGCATCAGGACCATTGTAGGGCGGTGGCATTAGAACCATTGTAGGGCGGTGGCAGTATGACCATTAAAGGGTAGTGGCGAGAGGACCATTGTAGGGCGGTGCCATTAGGACCATTGTAGGGCGGTGGCATTAGGGCCATTGTAGGGCGATGGCGAGAGGACCATTGTAAGCGGTGGCATCAGGACCATTGTAGGGCGGCGGCGAGAGGACCATTGTAGGGCAGTGGCATTAGGACCATTGTAGGGCGGTGGCAGTATGACCATTGTAGGGTAGTGGCGAGAGGACCATTGTAGGGCGGTGGCATTAGGACCATTGTAGGGCGATGGCGAGAGGACCATTGTAGGGCGGTGGCATCAGGACAATTGTAGGGCGGTGGCGAGAGGACCATTGTAGGGCGGTGGCATTAGAGCCATTGTAGGGCGATGGCGAGAGGACCATTGTAAGCGGTGGCATCAGGACCATTGTAGGGCGGCGGCGAGAGGACCATTGTAGGGCAGTGGCATTAGGACCATTGTAGGGCGGTGGCAGTATGACCATTGTAGGGTAGTGGCGAGAGGACCATTGTAGGGCGGTGGCATTAGGACCATTGTAGGGCGATGGCGAGAGGACCATTGTAGGGCGGTGGCATCAGGACAATTGTAGGGCGGTGGCGAGAGGACCATTGTAGGGCGGTGGCATTAGGGCCATTGTAAGGCGATGGCGAGAGGACCATTGTAGGGCGGTGGCATCAGGACAATTGTAGGGCGGTGGCGAGAGGACCATTGTAGGGCGGTGGCATTAGGACCATTGTAGGGCGGTGGCATCAGGACCATTGTAGGGCGGTGGCAGTATGACCATTGTAGGGCGGTGGCATCAGGACCATTGTAGGGCGGTGGCATTAGGACCATTGTAGGGCGGTGGCATCAGGACCATTGTTGGGCGGTGGCGTCAGGACCATTGTAGGGCGGTGGCAATATTACCATTGGACATTGCTTAAAAGGACTAGACGGTTACTATTTCTCCATGCTTTTGGATTCGGGTAAGCGATGAAATACTTGAAATTCGACTATACAAAAATTATTTCACTTTATGAGAAAAAAATTATAAAGATTGTCAGCTTCAAACTAACACAGTCGACACTCGCTGTTGTGGTTACCACCATTCACTGTTCTGATCTGAAATAACCATGTTCATTACGTGACCATTCCGAACCTGGTTTTAACCAATATCTTTGTCATGATTTCTAACCTGACCTTTGATATTATAATGTGATTGTGTATGGTGTCATTCCATTATCACTAGGTTAAGACAATGAATTGTGATGCAATTATAACAACGTTACTGGTCCCATTACATGTCATTTTGTCTGTGAAACTCCAAACAAATAACACGAAACTAGTTTCGAGAAGTTGACTAAGTTCAGTGGGAGTTGTCTATCTTTAGTCGGAAATAAAGTACAGAATATTGCTATAAGACGTCAACTACAACAGCAGATGTGAGACGGAAAATAGTTTGAAATAATACAATTATATCAAATCGAATATATGACGTAAAACAGATATGTTTGCTATCTCAAAAGTAAATACATATTCATCTATTTGTGAACATGCATTAACTTTACGACAGATTTGAGGAAACAAGAGCGCTTCATCGACTGAAATCACTCGTCAATTCCTCATAATTTTGTGTAAGTAAAATTCAGTAAGATACCCAACATTTTCATATTACATTCCATTCCTCAATGTAACGTAAATGTATTAAGGTTTCTGAGCTATCTTTAAAACATGATGAAATGACGGAACATCCAACTGGTCGTGTATTCATGTATGATATTCTTGCTTGGGTCGTCTACAATAACCTGTGATAAAGAGAGATCTAGATAAGCCTTTATGCTTTATTGAATTCTGGTTAACATACAGGTATGCACTGTAAAGACGACATCAGTTTCAGACCATGAAAATGTAGTTTTTCACGAATATATACCATGAACAAACACACGCTAACATGTCAACCCCGCATACATCGGGTGACCATTCTTAAGTTGAGTGCTCAGACTTAAATAAATAAAAATAATTATAAAACAACAAACAAAGAAATCGTGTATAAAGAGAAAAACTGCCATTTTTTTTACTCTGTTTACACCTTGCTTTTATGATCATACTTCCCCCACAACAGCCAGACTCAGGAGAGTTTTACGCCTGGAATGTGATCAACATATTGAATAAGTAAATACACAAAATAAACAACATGATATAGGTGTGCTTGGAATGTTCAGCAGATCAGTTTGTCCTCATGGTAGAAAGAAAAGACCATAACACCATCAGAGATTTGTAAAGACTTTATTGTGGGTTCTTATAGTTACTTTAATGTACAGAATATATCATAGTGCCAACCATGATATGAACTACTCATGTGATTTGTGGTGAGTTATCATAGTTACTTTATTTTAAAGAACATATATCGTACTGCCCACCTTGAGGTGAACAACTCCAGAAACTTAATCGTCAAAAACATGTGTCTGATTATTTGTCCACATTTTGGTCTATTAAATGAGCAATAAAGACGATTGCATAGGTAAATTATATCTTCATTGCTATTCATTCAGCACTTTGTGTCAGCGTCACAGTTACAGTGTAAAAATGATCGGTACATTTATTATGGAAATATTTTCCTTATTTCTTGTGTCAAACAGTTCGTTCTGAGCAACAGTGAACCAGTTCTTCCAATCACCCACTTCACCTATAAGTTACAAAAATTCATTTACATATAATGGACTAGTATACCAGTTATGAGATACTTCCTCTTGAAAATCAGTACGGTAAATAGTTATTGTTTCATAAGTCTTCTGGACTGTAGGAAAGACACCGAGGTGAATAGCACCTTTTAATAAAGCTTAAGTGTTTGATACAGTAGAGCCAAACCATGAAGTAAAAATAAGAAAAAAAATCTTACACCTGTGTCGTGCTTACATGACTCCCCAATGATGCAACGAGCCTATATTTTGAAGCCTAGGAAGCTAGATAATATATATATATATATTTCTACGCCTTAGATTCATCTTATTGCAAACCAATATTTACGTCGGCGCGCAATTCATTTCAAGTATTTTATATGATTAGTAAACCAGTGACTTGACTAACTATGCACCCCGGCTACGTTCTAGTTACTACAAAAGATTATCATTATTGCTATATGAATATAGATATACTCGATGCTCGTCAGTATCAGTGGATTAATAAAAATGACATGGCGTGTCAAGTAAAAGTCACTTACCATTCCGTAGCATAACTATTAGCCTTTGAATTTTCATGTTTTCCGTGTAAATCATGTTACTAATAATTTGCCATCGTTTCATAAATTTTGAGTCGGAATTAAAATTTGGTAAACATGCTAAGATTGTTTTGCTCTTGTAAAAGAAAATTCAGGAAACCCAAACTTTCTACAAATGCGACGAAGCAGAAGACGCTTACTCTTCCGGAACACCTGGTCTTTTTCTCCGTGTACTTTTTTAGGGGTCTCCGTGTAAATCTTTCTCTTGTTCATATTTTGCCCTAGTTTTATGGAGTTTAAGTTTGAGTTATGTTTATATTACTATTGTGGTATTTCTTGATATTTTTTGCAGATAAAAATAACAAATTTTGGAGACAGAAATGCGTTCCGAAACATAATATATTTTCTAGTTATCATAAAACAGATAGAAAGTAGAAATCGATCATGTTTACCTTTCCTGTAAAAGGGGTGTTTGCCATCTCTTGAAACACTCTTAATCCGCTCTGATATGTTATTTGTTTTCTCTTGAATGACTGATGCAAACTGACATTTATTTGTCACCTCGTTCAAAAATGTCGCTTCATGGTCCATTTCCATAAATGCTGCAAGTCTTTTAACACAACTCTGCAGGTCCTTAAAATATAACGATGTTAACGGAATGGATTAAACAACAATAATTTACACGAATACATATTGCTTTATCTCTAACGGTATCTAAAATTATGTACATGTTCCCCTTTTCCTACATGAATATTGAAACTGCAACATGTCAATTTGTTCAGAAGTTTAGATGAATGCCATCATGCCATTCTTTACATTTTTCCATATAGAATTTAAGTTTAACATCCATAAGAGGTCTACTTTTATATTGAAACTACAAGCATTGTTTTATACAAATTGAAGTGGAACACAATGTTATTAATTATGCTAAAATATCTCACAGAATAGAAACCTTTTTCATCTCCTCGAAGGAGGTAACAAAAATAGGGTAGTTAGGGTTGTCGATCATGAACTGTTGCCACGCCTTGGCATGGTCAAACCACGAGTTGTATGCAGCTGAAAGTAGTAAAATTCAAAATTACGAGAAATATACAATTCATAAAAATGTAAAATTCTTCAAACTGCAAATGTAGATCACCCCAAGCATTTGAAAAGATGGTTCGTAGAATACTTTTAGAATAAGCAGTGAGTTAATGAAAGGACTACAATACATTCAAAATGGTTTTAATTATTTGTGATTCAGTCGTTAGGTTATTGTTACTTCGCCAAATCATATGCTTATGAATGGAAAAGATAGTAAACATTAAATGTTGACCAGAACGTTAGCGGATAGCGCAAGAGCTATTTATCGTCGAAATCAATATTAAAAACAGCATTGTGTTTCCGTAGAGGTAACGCACTTGAAACACACAGGTTCTTGCCAAAGAAACTGTAAACAGTGTCTAAAAGTGAGCACCATTTCCCCCTTAACGCTCTGCTCATCATGTGTTCTGCACATTCATTTGGGAGGACCTTATCACTCCTAGAATTTCCATCACAAGTAAGATTTCTCTTATTTTTTATCATTATTTAAGGGCAAATAGGACCAAGTGCTAGAAAAAAGAGCACTAACAAACGGTAACATATTTATTTAGAATTTACGATGAAATCATGTGAAAAAACTATTGATAACAAATTAGCGGAGTTCTTCATCATATCCTATTTGAAATGTCAAATATCCTTCGGCAATCAATATTTCAATATTAGTGACGAAAAATTGTCTTTTTGGTTGTGGTTTATTCACAATTTCGTAGTTGTTAAATATCCTTTAAGTGGTGACAATCAAGATGAAAATGGCACATCTAATAATATAGCGTTATCATACGGAATAGCCACGTTTTCATTCAATCGTAGCAAAGGCACATGTAACATGATGCTGTCTCTTAGAAATTCAGTCATTTATTGGTGGTTTATAGCATCATTAAATTTAACAGTCATATCCTAACTCTAGACGTAATGACTCGTCGTTACAAGGGAACTGCCATACTACCATGTCAACAATGTCACATTTCAATGTTTACAATTACTCCATAATGTCATCACAATTCATGACGAAATTAATTCTTTATCATATCATCGTATATGTAATAACTTACTTACCTGTACCCTCTGAGTAAAGTTTTATAAAATCTTCCCATTTCCCGTTATAATCCTTGGCTACACGCACATTGAGTCTTTTTACACACGTATAATAAGAAACGGCAGAGTCTTTCGGGTTTCTGTAGACATATACAAGCTTTCCCTTGTTCTTTAGGAAATCTTTTGGTAGATGCTTAGGGTAAAAATGTGTTGCAAAATGTCTAGGTGTCTTCGCTGCATCGAATAATTCCATCTGTTCAAAATCCAAAATGCGAAAGATTTCTTCAAACTCAGTTTTCCCAGTCATCAACATATGCATGATATCGTAAACCCAGTGTGTTCCTGTAATGAAAAAGCACATAACTAACGTTAGATGTTTGCGGAATCTAGAGAACAAGCTCCAATGTGACCATATTTTGAATTTTCATTCATATTTTATTATGGAAATATGAAAGATGACATAGCTGCTAATTTTAAAGAAGTCTTTGCATTCAACCCATATCTATTAAACTGTCTTATCTGATTCAAAGCCTTCTTGAATAGATTTTATATACTTTTTTTTACATTTCAGACTAATATCGGTACCAATTCAGTAAATTTGCCATCCGATAGGCCAAGAGAGGTTTGATTGTGGATTACGTTATTTGGAAACAATATTAAGTTATAGAAATAAAAGTAGATAAAAAGTATTGTTTGAACTTGTGTGTCAGTCGCCTCCTAGGTTTCAAAAACTTAGTCTTAGGAGGTCGATACCACCGTATGATGTGCATTGTGTATTGACCACATAATTTATAAGCTGACATTTCCAAATATATCTTCCCTGTTTACAGTAGGATACCTGCTGATCAAAACGTTATATACATGGAACGTAAATGCTGATCACTTGAAATATTCCGGTCTCTGTGCTGACTCAATGCGCTAACGTTGAACGCGTGATAGAAACATTAATGTCCTTCGTACTTGATTCAATTTGTGACATTTATTGACATGTATTATCAATTATTAATGACCGATTTTTTAACATGATATATTATCCTTTTTATTCAGAATGATATTTTTTTCATTTTTCTAGTGACTTTCTTCTATGCCACTTGCCCTAAATATGACCTCTGATGTAGTTTGTCAATTTCATTTTTTTATATTCTTTCTTCGAAAAGGTCGACATTATTTGATACCTGCTTTTGGATATGACGCTATCAGCACGTCGCCATCTTTGAATTTCATGTCCATGACTTTCACAACCCGATCTTTGCAATCTCCTTGCACATAGGCCGGGAAAAAAACACCGTCGTAGTATTTGTATGTCACCTCCTCTCCACTCCCTTCAACGACTTTTCGTATCTCCATTACGACAGATTGAAGAACCTGGATAATGGTTAAGGTAAATTTGAGATTTTTAGAAGAAGTTAACTATTTATTGCTAGTTATTCCATTGTCAGTAAGTTACTGATTGTATCATTAAACTACTATATATCAATTTTATGAGATAACACTGTAAGTGATCACCATATCAACTTATACATGGACAGTGCATATTTCTTGTTTGAAATATTAGGTCTTTAACACTGCAACAGTCATTCAAATGCAAGGAAGGGATGATAGGCCTCCTTATGTAAGTTCTATAATACAATGAATACGAGTAAATCCTAAAGCGGTTTCAATAAAACAATACATTTGCTGTGTCATGCAGCACTTATTTTATCTTTTTGAACTGAAAAAAACAATATTCTATCGTGCTTTTTACCCGTGATTTTTTGTAATTTTTCGCAATCTTCCTCATTCTACGGGAAAAAACTATTATATATTAAACGAAGGACATACAGTATGTTTTGTTTTTTGAGCTCATCAGTTTGTAGTGGTACATCGATCTTTAAAAACTGAAATATTTACCACGAAAGTTAGATCAGTGTACTGTTGAATTACAATGCACACTTAAACTTGAAATAAATAAAGTGTTCACTTTGATATCCATTGACTCACCTTGTTATTTTCTAGTGGGCGTCTGTATATGTCACAATATAGAATGTGACCCATTTTAACGTTACTGTTGTTCACTAACAGATAACATATACGTTATACTTGTATCTGATTCAAGTACAATATGTTTTGCAAGGCTATGTAGCCCTGGTTAATACTATCTGCATATACCGCTCGATTCTAGTGACCTTCTCTCCAGCTCGGTCGGTTGAGCTTTAGTTTAGTAGGCCAAAGGTCCCGGGTACGAATCCTAGTAGATGAATTGAAATAACTTATGACCTTTGTTACATTTAGTATATTGAAATGAGGTTGAACATTTTGGAGTTAAAACCATCTATCATAAGCTCAGTGGATCATTCTCAGTGGTTGAGGTAGCCCCCTTCAAATCAGTACTTCTGCCAATTAGTAAAATAATAAGCTACTTAAAACAGTATATTCAAGTAAAAAAAACGACATGTAATTGAGATATCACAGTGTAAAACAAGGATTTCATCAGGACCCGTAATGGCAGCTTGCAATGAAAAAACGAATAAACCCAACGTTCAGGTGGTTTTGAAAGCCGATTTGATCTCCGCAAAACAGGCTGGATCTCTGTAGTAGGGCTTATTGCTTTCTCTGCTAATGGACCAGGCTCTCTCTCACTCCGATTCCTCTACAACGTCTCCGGGAAAAGTGAATCAAACCTCACTGTTACCGTAGTAGATTTAGTCCATTCGGTGGTGTTAAAATCACCATTTCTCAAATAGAGCGCCTTTTGACAAAAGGAAGTATTGCGGAATCTGATTCTGAGTCAGTTCCTGGGAGGAAGTTGGTTCTGAATCTAGTTGATCAGTTGGAATAGGCGTTCTGGAACATGCATGTTCCTATAAAGAGTCCTTCGGGACCCCTTCTTGGATCAAGTGCAACCTTATAAATGGCATTGTCGATATTTTGAATGCTGACGACCAAATAGGGTTACTATTTTCACCTATCAGCCGATTTGATATTTCCCTTCAAACCGGATTTTCTAACCAATCACCAACCTTGGTTTTGACTTCCGAACTATTCTGTCATAACTGTCTGTGTTCTGAACAGCTTTCGAGGAGGCGGACTTACGAAATGTTTCGTGCGCAAAATCCATACGACTCCCTAGCATTTCCATCATAGCAGGCTGGACCAACTGCTTCCTAGTGGTCTAGACTAATTCCGAGGAATGTATCTACAGACTACCGAGGATGCCAATCAAACATTAGATAGTGTGGTGCATACCCGGTGGCATCGCTCTTTGTTGCGTAGTGGGCTTGTACAAGCGGTGCTATGTAAGATGTCCAGTCAAGTTTCTTGTGCTCCTGAAAGGAGAAAAGCATCCCTAAGAGTGTCCTGTTATACCTTTTAGCAAAGCTGTTTGCCTGTTGATGGTAGAGGGTAGTACGAGTCTTCTGAACTCTTGCAATCGTACAGAGTAAGTAACTTTGCTTTAGAAGTTACGACCCTAATTATTGTAAGGCTGTTTACGAAAGCTGTAACAGGTAATGAACTTGCCGTACAAGGCCTTAGCTGTGTAAGTGCCGTCTGATTGCTACACGGCACTGCCTGAGCATACCTGGTTAAGTGATCAATTATTAACGAAATATTTTCATACTCACTCAAAACGTCAATACAAATTAGTTGAAGAGGAGAACTCAATCGGAACCAGCTCAGCGACTAATTTGATTGGTGTTTTAAGTCCAACACAGCGACCACAAGTCTCGACTTTTATGATTACGTCCTTATTAAAGAAAATCACACAAACACGACGGATTTGTAAGTTTCCATAGGAACTCCAGAGTATAGAGGATTAGACATGTTGTTCACATAAAAGTATTACACTCGTCACGCACATCATTACATCTCGTCAATTGATGTTAAATTAAAAATATGATTCGTTTCATGAATATCGTACCAAATAGAAACTTCTATAATTCAATATTTATTGCAATGCTATGACGCTTTGCCAGCAGTGCTTGTTCATCATATGCACTGTCGAATTTTTGTCATTTTTGTTCTCATTTGTTTTATGTCATTTGTATAATTATTGAGACTACAGATAGTGGACAAGTCTCTGAGGTTTACAGTAACCTGCCAGCGACATTTTAATTCATTTAGGTGACAGTTCAGAATTTATCCATGTACGGTAATCTTAATTTATCAGATATATGAAAATTACGTAATTGATAGAATAATGGGGCAAGTGCACCTGTCTAAATTTTGCGATCAATTTTAATTTGTATCAGACGCCTAAACCCGTACGGAAAGGTTCTATTCACTCAGGTGTCTTTTGTACAATATTCCTACGTTAATCAAAGTTTGAATTAATGCCAGTCAAATCAAATATTTGTTTTCATAAGTATCTCCATCCTTGTTCATGTAGACTAATGTGGAAAATCGAGATTAATGCTCATTACAAAGGGGTATTTTACCTACAGCCAGTAGTGTATTTTCCGGCGTTTGTATAAGCTATTTTTAACCGTTTGAATAGCGATTGAACTGAGAAAATGTATGTACTGTCTCTGTAAATGCACAATTCAATGGCTTCATGATTACTCCCCTGCTTTCGTTACGACTGTTTTATTTTTTAAAACTTAACCTGTACTTCCTGCCGAACTTGATATCTTATTCTAAGGTATTTTAAGCGCATTATGCTTTATTATTATTGCAATCCTAACGGTCCGTCAACACATAAAAGGTCATTAGGGCCATCAACCAGTGAAACACAGAGCGATCCAAAAAGGAAATAACATCAAACGAACAAAAAGGTGGAAGACAAATGCTAAAAAAAATTCTTGAATGGTTGTATTATGTTTCACGAAGTGAAAAATCAAGACAATGAGTTAAAATATGCATGATTGGCTTTAATTCTTGTGTTATTCATAAATATTCATGGAAGTACACAGTAATGGTAAAATCTAACACTGTAAGGAGAAGCTTACTGATATAGTGTAGCAATGCGTGTTATCAATTTTACAGTTGCACTTAATTTATTACGTACTAGCCATGCTTTGACAGTCAATAATGACGGCGTTCGATGTGAACAAACAAGAATCAATGTGACTTCCCATCTATAAAACTGAACGCCTTCGTTGTTTCCATGAAGGCGGTGGCCTTGAAATACCTAGTATCCCAGTCTGTCAAGTTTAAAAGAAAATATTTCCAAAAACGCTCTTGCGGAAATCCTAGAATCTACGTAAAATATTTACATTCCAGTTGTCAATATTTGATTTTGATTTCGATAATTATGTAAGATATTTATTTAACAATCACCTCCTCCGTATTTATACAAAGCAAAATATTCAAAACAAACTCTGTTACGCCTTATCCCCTCAGAAAACAATTTCATTGTGTCAAAACAGCCTAACCGATGTTTTCGGCTTTGAAGTAAATTGTGTCTGTGAAATAGTTATACACATTGCTTCTGATTAATCAATTCTAAAGCATCGTGTTTAATTTTCATTCTATCAGGTTTTCCTGTTCCAAGCATAGGAATGACTTGAAACTGCAGATAATACGTCGGAGCGTAGCCTGTTATGTTGTCTCCGAGTTTTTCTTTGCAATGTGTTTTAACTTCATCCATGGTGATCCCCGAACTTTGATCAAGAACCACACATGCGCAAACCTCTTCATTCGAACGAGCATCTGGTACAGCAATGATGACGACTCGCTTAACACCTGGTAATGTAGCGATGCACTCCTCTACATCTCCGGATAAGATTTTAAGTGTATGTCGTTTAATGACACTTTCTGCTTTGCCTTTGATGACGAGGTTCCCTTCGATATCTATGATTCCGATGTCGCCAGTATTCATCCATCCGTCAGAGATGGCATTTCTGCGCTTTGTTGAAGCTTTCCTATAACCCTTTAACATCCAAGGGCATTTAAAACAAATTTCTCCCAACTGTTGTCGAGGCAACGTATTTGAATCGCTATCGACAATCTTAACCTCAACCCCTTCAAAAAGAGAACCAAGAGTCCCGGGAAGCGTAGAAGGATCCAACTCTATACTTGTCACAACTGAGATCTCTGTTAGCCCATACAACGACACAACCGTCTTACACAGTTTCTTGCGTACATCAACGATCTGCGAGCTGATCATTTGACCACCTGTGAGAATTGCCTTCAAGCGATATTTACTCTTCGTGATTTCTTCAATATTTTCTATCAGATCCAAAATTGTTGATGGCATGAAAAAACCATTGGTGCATTTTTCTTCTACAACAGCTTTCCAAAGGCCAAACACACCATCTTTCTTCATAGTTAGTCGCCCATCTCTAAATACTCGCGTGTCACCATTTAGAAGACCATAGATTACGGAACCTCCTACCCAAGAGAAAGGCCTGTCATTGTACATCGCACCACCACTATCTGCCTCGTCTAAGCCTCTCGACAGCATAAAAGATGATGCGGTGTTTACCAACCCGAAATGGGAATGCTCTATCATTTTTGCATCTCCGGTGGATCCTGACGTCATTAGAACAACAGCAGTGGACTCGGGAAGGATCCGAGATGGAAGCTGCACCTTATCTTTGGGCTTTTTGAATCTCAGTGTTTCAACGTCTTCAGCATTGCAACCGACACATCGTTGCAATAGAAATATAACAGGAGTACTATCGTCTTTAGTATTGCTGGCTGTCGATTTTGTCCTAAATGATTTAAAGTCTTCTATCAAGTCGCTGTTCCCGTCTGGGTCAAACAGCGCCGCTTTACAATCAGATGCGCGTAAAGACTTGATGATTTCTTTGAATGATCCATGTTTCACCAAATGAACCGAAACTGCGCCTGTCATGAGAATGGCTATTTCACCTATAATCCATTCTATCGTGTTTGGTCCTATAATGCCGACAGAATTTCCGACTTTTACTCCGACGGAGACAAGAAAATTTGCAACATTTTCTGCCTGGTATCTTAACTCCGAGTATGTAATTGCCCGCCGTAAGCCGTTCGGAAACCGATGAATACATATCTCTTTATTGGGATTTTTTTCTGCTTTCTCAATGAATACATCGACGACTGATTTGTACAGAAAAGTCCGTTGACCCGATTTATAGCTAAACTCTGTCATTGCAAGCCCGAGTGATTTCTGGAAAGAAAATGTATAACTATTGTTCAGTTCCCTAACAAAATGTTGCTTTCTGAATCATTATAACAATTTTGAAATAATATGAAAAATGAAGAAAGACAAGGAATTACTAAGCGACTGTATAAGTCATATGAGAACCATATCAACGAATGAACGAGTCAATCAAAGTTGATTTTATAGTGGTATCCCACTGAAATATCACGTCAACGACTCACTTAAACCAGACGTCTTGTTTGGCGGTTTTTTTTCTAATTCCTATTGACGAATTGTGGTTGCTAAATACGCAAATAACACCACTTTGATAGGCTAACAGTAGCCAGTCCCTCAAATTGTTAGACTAACAATGTTGATTTTGGTATTGAATATGTACTATGTGGTTTGATATATGTTGGTGAAAAAAGGAAGTTAAAACAACATATGGATTGTCATCGTTCAGCAATGAACATTGGAGTTAATCAATATAAAACGACACCAAGCTTAGCACATTGTACCGTGATATACATATCAGAACCACTAGGTATCAATCATGTCCGAACTACTTCATATTCGTTTACTGTGTCCAGTTTACGTAAACTTAAGTATTTCAGTTAATACCACTTCTGATGACCTGTAGAACTAGCTTGAAGACGTCATGAACTTATTGATGATTGGGAAAACTTTTTAATCAAAATCACCAAGCTTATCCTACAGTGGTAAGCTTTCCATGTTAATGAACTTTTAAATGAAGATGTAAGCAGCTGATAACTAAGCGAATTTTTAGTCGTTGATTTCCTATTCTGATGGATATACACGATTCATGGAAAAAATCAGCAATACACATTGAAGTCAGGTAAGAGCAGGTCATATTAGGTGCCACGAGTATGCCAATAGTCTCCGTAAAATCTTACTACCAAATAAGTTATATGTTAAATCTAACATAATTATGAAATGTTATCAAATCCATATCATACATACATAGTACATAATAGCTACATCTTTATAATGTTAGTGTGGTATACAAACCTTACAAAAAGATGACACTCTCACAGCGACTCAGCTCCGTCCCTGTAGCTTGAATGTATAACGTTTCCATGTCATATATTGTTTATTAATATATCATTGTTGTGCAAATTTACATATCAAAAACGTTGATGGCTACATTTGCAAGAACGGTGATTGGATGTTAGGGCAAAATGCTGATACTTACCATACTGGTACATATGGTGAAACGATGTTACGTACAGCTGATGAAAAAACAGTTTAGACACAAGGAAAATATGGCTAAAAAAATGATCTCTGGGATAAGGTAAATCCCTTCGACTGTTGGAATTCGCATGTACGCAATATAACGTTATATGGTACCATTTGGCCAATTTTCTATTGCTTTCGTGTCGTGCCATATTTGAGATCAGTATTAGTGTAAAGTAAAATTATTAGGCTGGTGGCATCCTGAGATAGAGCCTAACAGAAATCCTTAAATACATGAACATTATTTCACCGTAATTGAAAAAAACATTAGATCAAAATATTTAGCTGTTATTTTTCAATGCTGAAAGCTATTTATGCAAAAAGAAAAAGATCAGGTCTGCGGTCACATTTGATCAGAATACTCGAATGATTTCTTCTTATTTATCTGATGTCCTAAAATAATAAAACTTTATACGTTCCATTGATGGAAACAAAAGAAATGAGCTTGACCAATGTTTTTACCCCGACCCATATTCAATGGCCAAACTGGCTGAAACTAGATAAAAGAATGATGTCTGTTAATGGACCATAACGATAACATGGTGCTTGAATTTGAATATGATCATGTTGACAGGTTGGTATTTTCATCTGGTGTTGTACGTGCTAGTGGTAAAATTGTAACTTGAAGCTTAGCGATGAAAAGTATCTGTTCAAACTCTTCAAAGCCTTGTCAAAGTCTTCCATTGAAACAGTTTTGGCCATGCTTTTGTTGTTTTTATTAATTTATCTATTTTTATGTTACATTATGTTACATCACACTATATTAATCACTGACACCAAGGTGGCGCCACTTAAACAGCTTAAATATGTGTTGGTATATGTTTTTAGGAGGTCGGAAATACTCGTTATGCATTAGTGAGAAAGTTAATGAGGTGACCGGTCAGGTGGTACATGTGAGGTCAAAGTGTTACTTCGACCTACCGTGTCCAATATGTTAACAATAGTACGGAAGTCGGACTCTTCTCATTTGATCTCCCTTTTTCGCAATGTCATTGATTGAAAGTGATAAGTTTCTATTTTAACTAAACATTATGAATCGTTATACAAAAACTTGACATGAACATCAAAGGATTGTGAGTGGGCGATAGTTATATATGTACGTGTATCTTCTAATACATGACGGTGGTAAGAACAGCTGTTACGGTCATAATTTTTTTTATGAAAACATGGACTATCATTACATAGTTTTTTCAAGTTATTTCATGATTTCAGCTCCTCAGTTTCGGAGGTATAACATTGTTTTGTGACAGGTATTTACGTAAGTGCTCATGACACGTGTACTCTTTTTCATTCATATTCACTAATGCAAACAGTCGTACCATAAACAGGAGAGTTATGCGGAGATCAAGGACTTATTGATGAAAATATGCAGGAAATTAACTAGGAGTAGAAGCATATAAATTAAATGAACTGAAGAATTTTGAGCGTTGAGCGTATGAATGTAAATGTCACGAACGTGCTTTGAGTGGCCATACAAGCGGTACCGAAGTGATTACGATAGTATTTGCATATACACCAGTCCGGGTATTTTAATGTGTACGAAATGTTCAGTGTACACGGAAGTAGTTTTAACTGACAATTAACAATTTCGAAATGATCTCCGCGGCAGGTTGAAATGGCTGTTTTATATGTATAGAGACACGTCGTGTGGGTGTGTGTATACAAGTATGGGAAGCTGTTTATCAGAAAATTTTCAATTTCAGATGGAAAGTCCATGGTACATTCATTACAGGTACGAGAAGGGTATTTAGATGAGAAATATAATGTTAAACGAATGAAAATGTTTCTAACTTAGAATTGTCAGCATGAATGAATTATGAATGTTTTGTATTTGTGCTTTATCAAAAATAAATGTATAGAAACACAAACATATTCCGTTTTGTTTACATTGTGAGTTTAACAGGTTAAGAAAAGAAACAAACAACCAAGTGGTAAATTACAAGTTACAGTGAAGTCTATGGTTATCCCTTTGTATTTGTTATCATTTGCACATCTTTTATTTGGCCCTTGTTTTTGTTTTTCTTTACCGAAGACTAGGACAAGTAAGTGTCAATATCCCTTGACAATATTATTGATCAGGGAATTAAAATATACTTACTGCTAGAACATAAATCACTTAACAAATACATTGTATTATTAAGTAGGACATTATTTCTTACTGCATACGCATTTCGTCCGATATGGCCAACACGCATCCCTCAGTCTGTTGCTTTCGTGTTTAGTTATGCATAATATCAATATCTACAAACATTAAACACAAATTAGTGTAGATAATTAAGTCAAAGATATTAACAGATGTCCAGGTTTAATAACTTGTTGACATATTTACTAGGCAACAGTTTTAGGTCATTACACGCATCCTTGACGAAAACATCGTGGTAAGTTGAAACTGTGGTAACAATTCTAGATTCCAAGGCCATATTTATTCAAGGTTACTAGAAAACTTAAACCTGGTGATTTTTGAATAATTCATCATTGGAATCAATAAAATATTAAATGGAGTTAATATTCCCCATATAGATTTTTGTCATATATATTTTAATACAAATCTTGTTTTACTCTGTCGCCTCCTGTAAATTAAAAAAAAAGACTGTAACGGGTCATCACTGACAAATGTATTATACTTATTACTATTTAGTCTTTATCTGATATATCTACATTTGTAGATGTATGGCTTAATTAGGGAATATACTTTGCTGTATTCTTATATAATAACCCTATTCCACACTTATCTATAAGTCATTTTTAATTTTATATGAACCATGATACAGTCGCACATCTGTGCGATAGAACGGCACAGCTTCTGCAAAGACGCGCAATAGCTGACTTTGTCCTTTTTTCTCTCTTGCACATTTTGTGCAGACATCGATTGATGCAATAAGAAATATTGCTTAATTTCAGCCCGTTCATTTGTTTTAAAAAAATAATAACGAAGACATGTAGTAATGATACATGTTTTGTCAGTTAAGAAATTCCGTTGGAACTACTTTCTAAATTCTCACTTAGTTGAAAGCCTTGTCTAAATCAAAGAAGAAATATACGGATGACGAAGTGAAATGATGGAGTTTTGATTGACATCTTTGTCGAGTTTGATGGGAAGATCTTCCATCAGACTATTGGCGTAACAAAGCAGGTATCAAAAGCCTTATAAAGACGTTAAATTGCATTTTCATATATATAATGTCATCATATAACAACAACTT